AAGATTAAAAATAAATAAAGAATAAAAAAAGAATTATAAAACAAATATAAAGAATGATATATCAATTAATAAAAAAGAAAAGAATAATATCAAAAAGAATAAACAAGAAAAGAATAATAATAATATAAATGATAATCAATTATAATTTATTTCAACTTCAATTTATATTGTATTTCATTTATTGTATTTTTATTTCATTCATCACTATTCAAAACAATTTCTTGGTATTGTTTTATTTTTCTTTAATTCTTCTTCACAGTCACACTCATAAAAACAACAATCTCCAAATGATGTAATTGATGATGGTATATTAATTGATGTTAATGATGAACATCCATAAAAACAATAATTTCCTATTTCATTAATTGATGATGGTATATTAATTGATTTTAATGATGAACAATAACTAAAACACCAATTTCCTATTTCATTAATTGATAATGGTATATTAATTGATGTTAATGATGAACATCCATAAAAACATTCATCTCCTATTTTACTAACAGATGATGGTATATTAATTGATGTTAATGATGAACATTCAAAAAAACAATCATCTCCTATTTTAGTAACAGATGATGGAATATTAATTGATGTTAATGATAAACATTCTTTAAAACAATAATTACCTATTTTAGTAATTGATGATGGTATATTAAATTCATTAATATCTTTCTTGAAAATATTCTTTCCATTGATTATTTCTAGATTATCTGGTATTTCAATACTAACTAACACTGGTTCATTCATAAATATTCTTTTTTCACTAATAAATTGTAAATTATCTATATTAATTGATGTTAATGATGAACATTCTTTAAAACACCAATGTCCTATTTTAGTAATTGATGATGGTATATTAATTGTTGTTAATGAATAACATTCTCTAAAACATTCAATTCCAAGTGATTTAACTTCTAATGGTATTGTAGTTCCATATTTTTCTCTATCATATTCTGTATATTCTATATTTTTACAGATATTTCCTTGTTTTTTTTCTTGTAAATATCTTGAATAATCTACTTTATACCATATTACATATTTAAATATTCTTCCATCATTAAATTCTTCATCACTATAATTATAAATATGAAATGTTTCAATGTTAGTAAATAATTTTCTTGAATATTTATTTAATGGAATTGGATTAAAATGAAATCGTTCAATATTTCCTTGAAATCTTTTAACTCCAATTTCTAAATTAATAAAATCTTTAATATCATTAAAATACATTGATACTATCATTATTTCATTATATCCTAATTTCATTATTGATTTATTTTTTATTTATTAGTTGTTTTTATTAGTTCTTTTATTTTTATATTTTAATTTCTTCTTTTTTATTCTTTATCATCATTCTATTTTTATTAATTGATGTTTGTTATGAAAAACAATAAATAATAACAAATAAAATAAAATGTTATTTATTTTTATTTTTAATAAATTATAATTATTAAATATTTCATTTTATTTTATATTTTATTCATTATTCAGGTGATATTAAATAAGGAACATTGGAAAATAAAACAAATCACCTCGTGGAATGAAAGATACAGGAATTATGATAGTGTCATCATCACAATGGATGAACTAAATTTAAGCCTGATGAAAATAAGTAATTGGAAAGCACCAGGTATTGACACTATATATGGGTATTATTGGAAGAGAATGTCATCATCAAGAGAGTCCATTCTTAATATCTTCAATGAATGGTTAAACTTCCCAGAAAACATCCCTCTAGACATGGTAAGTGGAAGAACTATACTAATCCACAAAGGAGGTGATAGGAACGATGTCACTAATTATCGTCACATCAGTTGTACAAATGTAATAATGAAAATATTTACCTCCATATTGAAAGAGAAGATTCACAATAGAATTAACATGAATAATGAATCATTAAAAATTAGTAAAAATCAATTATGATGTAAACTGCAATCTCTTGATGATAAAGAAGGATTAATTAACAGTTATATGTTAAAGCAGCAGAAAGAAGAAAAATACACAAAATATGTAGAGTCATATTATGACATTAAGAAAGCATATGAAACAGTAAATCATGAATGGGTAATAGAAGCACTTAAATATTTTAATGTAGAGGGTATCATCATAGACATTGTAGAAAGTATGATGAACAGATGGAAGATATTCATAGGATATAAATATAATGAATATCTAGGATGTATTAAACTGAAGAGAGGAATTTTACAAGGTGATTCATTATCCCCTCTACTCTTCATCATCAAAATGAATATAATTTCTCAAATCATAGAAGAGAAGTTCCCAAAAGCAAACCATACATTGTATATGGATGAATTGAGAATAATGACACAAAGTAATGAAGAAATGGGAACAATCCACAATGAAATTAAAGAAATAATAAGTGGAATAGGGATGGAAATGAATGAAAAGAAATCAGGAATGGTATTAAAGAACATTAATAAAATACCAGATGGAATGCAAAACATCCCATTAATTGAAGGAGAGGATTTGTATAAATATTTAGGAGTATGGTAGTCAGATGAAATTAATGATACCTTCAATTGTAAAATCATCAAATAAAAGATGATGAAGAAAATGGAAGAGATAAATACTGATGAATGTAGTAATAGAAGTTATATTACAAGAATTAATACTGAAGTAATACCCATCTTCAGATATTCAGCATCAGTAGTAAATTGGAATGTAACATAGATAGAATGGATTTAGAGATAAGAAAATATTTAAGAAAGGCAAAATACATTGTTGTAACTCCAAAGACCGTCTATATGTCCCTATAAATGAAATGGGTGAATGATTAATA